TATGTGTTTTGTCTCTGCTATTCCAAAGGAACAATAATCAAGGATATTTGGTGTAGCCACTTTGCTTAGAGGAGAAAATTAACCATTTTTAAGTCCACATAAATCACTCATTGACCTTCATGATACTTTATCTTCTAAGACCAAAGCTATGGTTTTATATTCTTCTTTCATTTTCGTTGAGTGATGAATTGGTATTTGTTCCTATTGCATATGAGCCAATCATCTTAAAAAAATTCAGGAAGACCCATTTTTTCCAGGAGTGTTCTAATATCCTGAGAATAGTAGCAGGCCGTTTTACAGTAAAAAGTAATTTTGGTGCCTTTTCTTTTTCAACCTAGAAGCAAGTAATTCAGAAGCTTCTTTTGATAGGTTGAGATCTCTGGTAAGGTCATTGAACTCATCCTGTTTGAAACGTTGTACAAAATTCTCCTCATAATCACTGTCACTTTCATGCTCAGAGCTCTGGACTCTGTTGGAAGTAGCACCTTCTCTGAATGAGGGACCAGGCGTCTTTCAGAAATAAAAACAGGATAAGTCCACTTGCTACGGTTGTTTTGATTGATTCCAATAATATTTACAAGGCAGAAATGCAATCATCAAGTGGTTTTGGGGTTCTCTCAAAACCATTGGTACATCAAATTTCAGACTTTTCCCTTTCCCGGTAGTCCACTGTCGTAAATTTTTAGCAGACATGATGCGGTGCCCAGGTTTTATCCTGATCACCAAGCCTAACACCAAAGTATACATTATAAGCTTTTTTAGAAAGTCATTTTTTCTTTTAACGTATATTCTCCACATATGTAGTAAATAAGGATGTTTTACACAACTTCTTCTACTTGAATTTATTTTATGCTAAATAAAATTCAATGCCTTATTGTTTTTCTTTGTTAATCTATATACACTGTCTTTAATTACTACAACTTGTCCAAACAAAATATTAAACAAATCGTCACCCTAATATAACAAGGTTTTATGTTAAAAAAAACGAAAAATTTAAGTCTATGTTTCTACAGGATTATACGTGGCCTACGCTTCACATACCACTTAAAAATAATTCTATAGAATGTATATTCTATGTAAAGATATATATAGAGTTATTTTCAAGTTGTATGTCAAGGGTGGATTACATAAAACCTTGTAGAAGCATAAACTCAAATTTTTCGGTTTTTTAACATACAACCTTGTTATATTAGGGTGACGAAATATTAGAAGTATTCCCAAACACCAAGACAAAACACAAAGTGCTTTCAAGAAAACAATTATGTTTATATTTATTTTACAAGAATGGTCTTGATATCATTAAAACAGTTCGAATTACGTAAATATTTAATTAGATCTTTCTTGTCGAGCGTGACATTTCCTTAAAAAATATGTTAATTTTAATTCTGAGAACTAAACATTTCCCGAGTTATAAAAATTACAACTCAAAAAAGTTTTTGTATGCGTTATTTCAATGGAAAATAGAAAATAGCGATGAGCCACCTTTAAATATTAATATTATGAGATCAAATTTTGGCAAGGTCTATTCTAGGAATTAATTTATTAATTATTAAGTTTCTTCGAAACAACAGAAATAATCGATTTTTTTAACACTTAACTAAGGCTGGCAATCGATTATGAAAAATTCTTCTTCTTAAAAACGTACTTGTAAATCCTTAATACATAATAATTTAAAAAAAAAACATTATTTGTATATTCTTTTTCTTTATCATATTTGGTCAGCTAATAAAAATCGCTTATTATAAATCGGCGAAAAACCAAATTAAATAGACAACTGAATTAAACCGAATTAAACCTTTTAGAAGTACAAAATTAAATGGTCCTTAAATAGAGACTAACCTTATGTTTGTCCCTTTCTGTTTCCACAGGCGCTCTAATAAAATTAATACGGCAATCGCTATTTGTGGCATTTGGAAAATTCGGTTGAAACATTTTCGAAGTTCAATAAATGTCCATTGTCGAAAAAGGTTGCGTCACCTCCATTTTATACAACTCACACTTACTTTTTTGCTTGTTAAAGGCTACAATCGTTTACATTTCTTTTTGTTTATTTAATTTTTTTGTCTAGGGGATTTTTATTTATTATCCTACGTTTTTTATATTTATTCACATAAGTACCAGAAAATAATAATTTTCTGGTTTGGCATTTACTAAAAATATTACGTGTTTAATAATTATTAAACCATAATTTAAATAACCTTAACTTAATAGATAATTGAAACCTAACTCTCTAAAAATGAATTAGTCAAACATGACTAATTTAATAGTTATTAATGGCTGCTTTTTCACTTGTACCATGGTTAACCATGGAATACCATGGTATCCAAAAATTTAATAGCCAATTCTTATGTACAATTGTCCTCTGAATCCGAAAATGTCGTCAAAAGTTAAAAAAGTAGAACAGTTTTTGAGATATAGTCGATTTTCCATTTAATATGGAATTGACTATATCTCAAAAACTGCTTCACTTACATAATTTTTGACGGTATTTTCAGATTCAGGGGACAATTTTACATAAGAATTGGCTGTTAAATATTGGGATACCATGGTATTCCATGGTTAATCATGGTACAAGTGAAAAAGCAGCAATTAATAACTATTAAATTAGTCATGTTTGACTAATTCATTTTTAGAGAGAATATATTAGATTTATTAAAAGTTTTTAGCTTTTTAGTTTTTACCTTTGTAAAATTACGTTTTTAAAATAATGGGTATTTATTATACAAGACAATAAAATGTTATTTTATCGTCGACCGAAAATTATTAATTTCGGGATACTTTAATGGAATCTTATCGTCAAAAAATTTAAATGCATTTAAAAAACTTTAAAATTTTAGATCAATCGGTGCCCCACAGGCGTTTTTTAAGAAATAATTTTTGTAGCATCCGTTAAAATAAAAAATTGTGATTAAAAGCTACCGTAATTAAATCAAATACTGTTACAAGAGTTAATATTGCAAACATGTTTATTATGCTTGTTATAATTAGGCTTAACTTATAAGCATAATAATTACGGTAATTTTATTCACAATTTTTGATTGTAACGGACTCTACAAAAATTTCCGAGTAGCGTGGAATGGCTGTGCATTGTTATTGAAAATTAAAAAATGAGTTCTGAAAATGAAAACGTAGTTTGCTACAAAGGAAATATTATTAAAATAAGCGTGGAAAGTGGAAAAAATAAATGCAGAAAACTGAAGATAACTAAGAGAAGAAAAACATCTCGGGTCACAGATAGTCTAGTTTGTCTAATTATTTGATACATGTATGCAGTAATTGTTTTTTTTTAATAATTTTCACTAGTAATACCACTAGAGGTCAAATTATTTCCGGAAATTTTTTCGAGCTCATGAATATTTTGAAAATTATCCCGAGTCGAAGACGAGGGATAATTTTCTAAAAATATTCATGAGGGAGCAAAAATTTCCGGATTTAATTTGACCTCGTGTGGTATTCGGTAAGAAAATTCCACACCAAATTGTGTTTAAATAATTAAAATTTATTTTTTGATTTAACTTGACCTTGACTTGATTATTTAGTTACCATGGCAACTAAGTCAACCCCAACCTAAAAGTTATTTCAGTTTTGAAGCTGTCAAGCGGCACGACGTAAAAAAATGTGAAATTGTCTGCTGTAATGATCAATCATCGTGCAATGACTTATTTACCCGCATTATTAGAGGATTGTGGCTCCTACTTGAAGAAAGAAAATTTGTTTTGAATTGTTCACGAATATTTGCATCTTAACTATTCAAAACTCAAAGTGCTAAATGGAAAAAAAGGTGAATAGAATAGTGTCTAAATATTATATATATTTCATTAGACATAGACATTTAATTTATTTCAAGTCCTGCATTTTCGCCATTAAGAAGAAAGGAGGTGTCCAACGAATATAGAAAACATCTAAACTTTGTAATGGAAATGTATCAAAATTATCATGTAAACAAATAAAAACCAGATTGTCAAACAAATATTCTGTCATTATAAACGTCAAAAAATTTCCAGTATAATTCGCTGTTGGGTACCCACGAGGAAAAAATTTCCACTAAAATTCAACCGTTGCCATGGTGATCTATCAAAAATACACGTTTTGATTGGTTAAAAATTACAGGTGTGGAATTTTCTAAACAAAATCCTCGGTAAAATACACGTTGATATCAAAATCTATGGAAAACTTACATTACTTTCGATTGTTCTTGTCATTTTGACAGCGAAAGCAAAAATGGTTATTAATGTATCTTTGCCATTTACAGAATCATACAAGGACCACCCAATTATGATGTTCGAAATTCCGTGTCCACCACTGTACATTTTTCTTATTTTTAGAATTCATAATTAAAGTTAATTTAAAACTGACAGCAATAAAACGACCTTAAAATTTAATGAAATCACCAAATAAATCAAACCAAATAATTCTAGATGTAGGTTATTCAGTATTGCCAGATCTTCTAGACGAGAATGACAAATTTATAATTTTGGTTAAACACAGTCATTATCGTTTAATAGTGCAAAACTACACATACAGACTTAAGTGCACTTATATGTTCATGTCGAACTGGCATATAAAATTTTTGTTAAAATTTTCAACACAGCTTGGCAATTATAAACGATAGGTAACAGCCATGTAGTTTTAGCAATTTTAATATTTTTTTATTTGGAAACCAGACGGACAATCTTTCCAAAACTTTGTATATAACTTTCATGTATACAGAGTCTATATACTCTAATATATCCTAGAATTTTTAAAACTTTTTTTACAGCGACTAATATACAAAAAAAAAATAAAAAAAACACTAATTTGACAGACCAGTGCACCCAAACTTGTGCACGTAGGACATGGACCCGCCGGAAGGTTAAAGTTGGTGCAAGCATTTCATTTACATCCTGTATAGATTTGCCTTTTGTAAAAGGTAAACTTAGTATCATTTATTTTTTTTTTGATTTTTAGTAAGGAGAAGTTGCTTGACTGGGTAAATATAATGAAACATTAAAAAAAAATACCTGTAAGCATGTTGTGTAGTTGGGAGCGTATACCACGTGGTCGCATGCGCACTGGCAGTCCCCCATGTGATCGGTCATTTCGAATATAATTTCAGGATCATCCATTTCGGCGTCCATGCCATCTCCTGCAGCTCTTCGGTTAGATTGAAGAGTATTTGATCTAAAAAATTAATTTAAAACTTAATGTTATTATAATAACATAATGGTTTTTTTGCTACAGAGAATAAGAAAGGTGATATTTGTCAGCGATTCGATTATGTTTTCCGGCCATATTGATCGTTTTTAACTCGAGTATAACCCAAATGTTAAAAAATGTTATTGTGATTTTAGTGAAATACATATTTACGTAATTTAAAGTTGCGAAATGATTAAAATGTGGTTCTAGACCAGCAAGGGATTTTGTTATTCTTTATCCAAAACAAATATAGCGAAATTACATTTTATTCCCTCTTGGTTCCTTGCTTTAAAACTACATAAATTATATTCTACATTGTTATTTTCACCACATTTCTAATTTCTATCATGAAAAGTCATTCATTTTCTTTTTATACCTTAAACAATACAAATTACTTAATTTATAGATTCTTTGTTTTATTTTGTATATTTGGAAACACAAAGTATAAATAAAAAAACTTCTATAATATCTATAGGCTCTGTCCATTTCAAAACGACCGGTACGCGCAGGTCATGATTTTCTTTTTATATGAAACTTAAATGTTTTTTGATCGAAATAATGACACGTATTTTTTTGTTTGACGAAAAAAAATTTTTGTTGTTGATTTTTGGCGATTTATTTTTTGCGGTAAAAATCGATTTTTTCCGTTGACCGAAAAAGCTTTTTTTAATGCGTATAACTTGTTCAAAAATTGACCGATTTTGACAATTGAACTTTTAAAATGCTTTTACTTATTAACACTTTCCATTAAAAGTAACAAAAATTTTAAATTCATTGGATAAAATACGAAAAGTACAGAATTTTTTCAAAATTAAATTTTTCAAAAAGTGTATTTTTTAATTTTTTTTATCAAAAAGTAGACAGTCCAAACTGCATTTTGGCCAAGGGACTGTCAAAACTTTTTGTTAAGAAGATATGAATTTTTTTTCAAATTCTATTTTTTTCCTTGCTGCTAATTAAATTTTATTTTTAAAGTAAGTTTTATGTGTAATAAATAGCAAACAACAATAACAACAATTTTAAATTCATTGTGATAATTTTTTTATACGATAAAAAACGAAAAGTACAGAATTTTTTCAAAATTTAATTTTTAAAAATTATATTTTTTAATTTTTTAAAAATTATATTTTTTATTTTTTTTTTATTTTTTTTATAAAAAAGTAGGCTAAGGGACTGTTTGCCAAAACTTTTCGTTAAGAAGGTATGAATTTTTTTTTCAAATTCTATTTTTTCCCTAACGATCGCGTGCTGCTTAATAAATTGTGTACATAAGTGCAATCTTGGTTTAGTACTACTAAACCAAGATTGCCATGATCCTTATAGAATTATTATTTGACGGATTGTTGTGTCATAACCTGATTTCGTGACTGGTTAAATATATAAAACCTGAAAATAACAATAATGCATTAATTGCTCCCGTACAATACTTGAAGATTCCATGTAAGTTGTTCTACGCTTATGGCTTATGGCAGATGCAAAAAATACTAAATAATTATAACGCATTGTTTTTTTATTAAAGTTATATCTACTTATCATTAATCTTTGTAACTGATTGCTAGACTTGAGAGGCAGGTAATATACTTAATACTCGGAAATTCCCTGTTTATTATTTAACTAAGGCAAAGACTTTTTTAATTCGTAGATTTTTGGGGTCTAAATAGTTCATGACATCTAATTATCATCTAATTATCATCTAATCATTATATTATCAATATCAAATATTCCAATCACGAGAACCTAATAAATTAAACAGGGCCTTCAACAATATATTTATTCTTCATCTGAAATGTGTACTATGCTTCATACATTACAATTGAAAACAAATAATTGAGGTTGTTTAGATGTCAGTTTAATGATAATTTTGACCTATTTTCTAAAAATAATACAATATATGTATAGTCATATGGAATTTCCGAGTATTAAGTATATTACCTGATTTTTAGGTCCAATTAGTACTCATCATTTCAATTAATATGTTATAATATTTATCACTTTTATTTATATTGTTTACAAGAAAGATAATAAACAATGTATTAATTTAATTACTTCTAGACTAAAATTTAAAAATTCAAGATAAATTTTTGATTTATAAAATTTTAAATAATCTTATTAAAATCTTATCTTAACATGATTATGATTAGTTTAATTATAAACAAGTAGCATATTTTATAAGTCTATAAGTCTAGTTTTAACTGTACCAGAAATTAAAAAATTAAAATGAATACACAGGTAAAATTAAAATAATTGTTTAAATATTTATTGTTTAAAAATATTTATTATTTTAGATATAATTTGTTTTGTTTGCTACTTTTGCATTTTCAACTGCCCATGGGCAGTATAGAGTTATTGGTCGTAAGTTTTAGTTTTAAACACTTTTACATTTCAATGTAATACATTAGTGTAAGATTTAAAACATTTTTTTTAATCACCCTAATATACATTTATGTATTACAAACCTATACATTAGGGTGATTACAAAAATGTTTTCTTATCCCTTTCAATACGACTTTTCGGAAATTAATTTAAAACTTTTTTTTAGTGTTAAAACTATATTTAGATTAAAAATAGTTAATTGACTGAATGACAGATTTTTAACTTTAGTGGTATTTGAAAAAAAGGCCTGGGACAGATTTATCGCTGCAGTAATATGCCCTGTGATTTATTTATCCCCAAAGTAAAGAAATTCTATTATTTTTGAAAATATTTATTATCAAAAAACAATAAAATTTTACAGAATAATGAAACAAAAAACCTTATTCAAGTCTAAATTATAAAAACAGAATAAAACTCATAAAAAAACTAAATATAGATGATTAAAAGATGGTTAAAAATTTGAATATCAATATGCTTCAATTGAGTTATATCAAACTCATACTAGCTAGGTCCTAGCTGGGCCTAAGTATGATAAGGCGTATAAAGAAATTCTATTATTTTTGAAAATATTTATTATCAAAAAACAATAAAATTTTACAGAATAATGAAACAAAAAACCTTATTCAAGTCTAAATTATAAAAACAGAATAAAACTCATAAAAAAACTAAATATAGATGATTAAAAGCTGGTTAAAAATTTGAATATCAATATGCTTCAATTGAGTTATATCAAACTCATACTAGCTAGGTCCTAGCTGGGCCTAAGTATGATAAGGCGTATTTTTATAAAACAACTAATGTATAGTGGTACCAAACATTTTTTGCACTGCAGCTTTGTTCTTTATTCGAGGTTATTGGCTTGACATTGTACGCAACGCCTTCGTCCACCTATCTTTTGTGGAAGATGATCTCCAACGGATCCATCTATCGTTTTTAGGATTTTAGAAGACCTTCCTTGTCTACGAGTTCTTTTTTTATTGACACATAATGATCTTCCTGTGTTTATTAGACTCTCGGAAACTTCAATAAGAAATTTAAGGTACTTTACGGTTAAACTTCCATATACACAATATATGCGTTGTACGTAGGAGTCATTAGCAAACGGTAAAAGACCTTTTTCCACCATTTTGCACTTCTCCTATCCAACTCATACAAGGATATCATTTGATCAGCGTGATCGACTCCTCCCATGTGCTGGTTGTAAAATGCGATTGCTTTGGGACATGACACTTCTTTGCGGCTTCCATCTTTCATTTTTCTGGTGATAATTGTTTCATCATTGTTATGGCAATTACACTAAAAAAATAAGCTGTTGAAACAACAACAAAAAAATTAAATCAACTCTTTATGCACTTTAAATACAACCAATGAATTTTGCACGTTTACTTAACCATCTAAAAATGTCAAATTGTATTGTTTAATTGAACAACAAATATTAGTCAATTAAACACCAATAAAATGTTAAATTAAAATAATTTGCGTTAATGTTGGGTTTAATTGAACCACAAATATCAGTCAAATGAACAAAATGAGAATATTTGTTCTAATCTGCTAAACTGGTTAATTAAACATTCTTAAAATGTCCAGGTAACCTTTTTAGCATATTCACTTAACACCAATAAAATGTTAATTTTGGGTTAATTGGGTTAGGTTAACATTCTGAAAATGTAAAAGTAACATTCTTTAAAGGTAGATTCAAAAAAAATTTATGGAAGTAATATAAAGAGAAAGAATTAAACCTCCCTTGCCAGAGTTTTTGTTTTGAGTGCGTTCCACCTACTTCAATTTGAAATAGGTTGAACGCACTTGAAGGTATTTGAAGACTTCAAATACCTTCAAAAACCTACCGACAGAGTCTGTCGGACAGACAGATGATTCGACCTATATTGGGGGTCATATCAGTGTCGGGCAATTTGGTGTAGTGGAAGTTCCACTGTGGAACACACCCAAAACAAATGGCTCCCTGAGCTTATATACTCCTATCGTAAGCCAACTGAGGCGAGATGTAAGAACATCACGTAATTAACACCGTCTAATGACGTGGCGTGGGAATGCAAAATTAACAAATTTTAAAGTTACATTTACAATTTATTAAATGAACAAATTTAATGTTTTGGATTTAAAGAGCAACACAACGTTAATTTAATAGATTTTTTAGGTAATCCTAAAAATTTCAGTATTTGATTCAACTAATTCCAGCTATTAAATCAAAATAGGATAAGCATTTTAATTCAAAAAATTAGTATATGTTAAATCAGTACTTTAACTGTCAAATGAACAAATAAACTTTGACCAACTCTGACTATTGCTTTGACACCAAAATATAGATTAATCCAATAGGTTTTTTGATGAAACAACATTTTCAAAAATGACATTTAGGCAAACGTTAACTCAACCACATTATTTTTTTCGATGTACTATGCTCCACACCTCAAAGTCCCACCACGTGACCACGTACGGAACGCAGTCTTTTGAAAATTTTGCATTTAAGGCTTTTCAGGTTATGTATCTGTCAAAGTATAGTCAATGAAAGAAATAATATTTATAGTGTTACCGCTTATGTTTAAGCGTTAAAAGTTAATAAATCGTTATAGTATCACAATAACAATGGT